TTCTTTCTTTTTTTCTTTCTTTCTTTCTTCGCACCTTTCATCCTTTCCCTTTTTCTCTCTTTCTTTCTTTCTTTCTTTCTTTCTTTCTTTCTGTTATACCATAATACCATAATACCTATTCTATTGTAATAGACTCTCCCACGGATTATAAGTAGTAGTAGCAGTGGCTAGTTGGGCTCAGTGGTGTTGAATGAGTCAGTCGATGTCGGACATTGAAGTATCAACCATCACAACTAGATTGCTGCATCATTAACTCTTATTTCAAGTTCCTAACGTTTTGTACGCCGGACTCTTTTAGGACAGACTTAGTGAAATACAAGCCTCCACTGTGAAAACTACTCTACAACAAATTTCCTTCTTTCTTTCTTTCTTTCTTTCTTTCTTTCTTTGGACACATCATCCTTTCTTTCTCTATTTCTTTCTTTCTTTGTAGCTATGATCCGTTCACACTTTCTTTCTTCCTTTGGACCTATCGTCCTTTCTTTCTTTATTTCTTTGAACCTATCATTGTTACCTTCTTCCTTTCTTTCTTTCTTTCTTTCTTTCTTTGTACGTATCAACCTTTCCGTCATCTTTTGTCTCTTTTTTTCTATCTTTCTTTTTTGTACTTAACTTCCTTTCATTGTTTCTTTGTTTCTTCTCTTGCATCTACCATCCTTTCTTTCCTTCTATCTTTATTTCTCTATTCGTTTTATTTTTTTCTGTTTTCCTATTCATCATCCTTTCTTTGTTTCAGTCATTCTTTTTTTATTTCCTTCTATTCGTCACATTTTGTTTGTTCTTTTCATTCTATCATTAATTCTTTCTTCCTTTCTTTATTTCTTTGTCTTGACACTCTTTCCCCGTATTCATCTTTTTATCTTTTCAAAAGCTTTACGAGACGCTTTTCTTACAACGAATATTATCATTATTTTTATCATTATCATTATTATTAGTAGTAGTAGTATTAGTAGTAGTAGTAGTAGTAGTAGGATGTTGTATTTTTATGAAGAAATAAACCCGATCCCTTATTACAGGAAAAAGTTACAGAACATAATTTCTGAAAAAAAAGGGATATAGTTTTATCAATGAAACAGAATTTAACATATTACGTTCAGTGTAAAAAACACAAATGTTTTACAGCCTTTCAAAATACGTAAGAAATTTGATAAATTTCCTCCTCTTCGCCCGATTTGTAGTAGATATGAATGTTCCATGACATAAGTCTTTGAGTGACTAGATGGCTTTTTATCTTCTATATCAAAACGGTTTTTGTCTTATGCCCCAAGCACATTTGATTTTATTTCTAAAATAAATAAATTTTCAGAACGAAAAAATGAATTCATGATTTCTTTTTGGTCACCTTGGGTGTCTTGTCCCTTTATCTTGATATTGATGACGATGAAGGGGTTGAGGAAAGCAACAAAGCTTTTGGAGAAACGCGAAAACAAAACCATTCCGTCAAACTTTCTCTCTAGACATATATGCTTCGTCTTGGAAAGCAATACGATGAAATTTGGGAAAAAGTTTTTTGCACCAAATCAAAGGCTGTGAAATGAGGACCCCCCTTAGCCGTTAACTTTGCAAATGTTTTTTATGACAAACTTCAAAGAAAAAACTATTTGAAGCTTTCAAATCGCAGTACGGCCATGAACCAGAATTTTGGATGCGATTTTTTGATGATATTTTTCTTCATCTGGAAAGGTGTACAGGAAAATTTACTAAATTTTTTACAATTTTCTGATACTTTTGCACAAAAGTATAATTTTCTATCACATATAAAATTTACATCTCTTTCTCTAAAGCTAGTGTTGAATTTTTAGACGCAAAAGTAAATTTCTCAATGACGGAATTGTTTTGCAAGCCGACGTCATTACACATTTACGTCCACCGCCATTCTAATCATCCTTAACACACGTTAAAATCAAACCCAAAATGTCCGTTCTTTGTTCATAAGGCGAATTTGCACGGTGATAAAAGATTATGCTAATAATTTCATTCTGCATTATGTTAAGTGTGGCTACCAAGAGTCGCGACTGAAACAAATTGCCAATGAAATCGCTAAAAATTGAAGATTACCATAATTTTATACCAAGTCAAAACACCAAAAAACACAATAAAAATTCTGAAAGAATCCTATTAGTCATCAATTGGTACCAAAATTTTGCTGGAATTTCGAAAATGCTACACGACAGCTATGAACACATTGCGCAAAAAATATTCGCGTTTTAAAGAGATTTTTTCCCATCCCACTTATAGTTTCTTTCAAAAGAAATAAAAACATCAGACAAATTTTACCAACTGTAAGCGTCCATAGTCAAAACAACATGGAGTTCCGGATCTTTGTACTCCCGAAAACACTCACAGAGGAAAACCCCATGCGTTTTGCAATCTGAGTCAAGTTTTATTCTATTCCAAATTCAAAGAGAAACATCAAGATTTCTACGGAGGGTGGTAATTGTACTGATTCCCATTTAATAGACACTAAACATGACTTGATTTATGTGGGATGCACATTAAAAAAATTAAATAAAATATTCAATGTACACAGGTCAGACACAACAATATGAATTTGTATGGAGATAAAAGATTATTGGAAACATGTTAATAATTTAATTCGGCATTGGCTATCAAGAGTCGTGACTGAAACAAATAGCTAATGAAATCGCTAAAAATGAAGATTACCATAATTTTATATCAGGACAAAATACCCCAAAACACAATGAAAATACTGACAGAAACCCATTAGACATCAATTGGAACCAAAATTTTGCTGGAATTTCAAAATTATCATACATGACAGCTATGAACACATGAACGCGTTTTAAAGAGATTTTTCCCAACCCGCCTATCATTTCTTTCAAAGGAAATAAAAACATCAAACAAATTTTAACAAATGTAAGCGTCCACACTCAAAACAAACATAGAAGAGGAAAACCCTGTTCGTTGTGCAACATCATGAGTCATGTCAATTCTATCACAAATTCTAAGAGAAATATGATTTCTACAAAGGATGTTAATTGTATAACGCATAGGCTTTTCCTCTTCTATGAGTGTTTTCGGGAGTACAACAATGCTTGAACTCCATGTTGTTTTGACTGTGAACTCTTACAGTTGATAAAATTTGTCTTTTTTATTTCTTTCCGGTTTAATATACGCCACCCAATCTACCAAATATGACTTGATTTATGTGGGTTGCACAACGGAAAAATTAAATAAAAGATTCAATGGACACAGATATGATGTCAGACACAACAATGTGACATTAACGCAACTTGCAGAACATTTTATTACAAACGACTGAAATTTCGACAAATTTCATAAGGTGCGCATTCTAAAAAATATTCATAATCTACTGACCTTTCCACCCTTAAGGAGAGTTATGTTGCAAATTACTAAGACCCCGCCCATTGGAAAAATGAACAAAATCTATAAGATTTATTCTAAGGTGTTTAATTAATTCCTCTTGGTAACTAATCAACTAACAGAAAATTTCAAGATGAACAAGATCACCATCATATTAAGCATGTTTCAGTGTCATGCCTTAATATTGAAGGCGTTTCATTCGTTTTCACGCATCCATTACCAGGACAGCCGTTTTTTGTTTTTCTTTCATTACAAGACAATTAACATTTCCCAACCTCCCCAGTTTGTTTTGACCTGCTCTTTTTATCTGTTTTGGGTCATTTTTTTTTTAATTTTTTAATGGCCATAATTTTGATTTCCTTCCCCATTCCCTTAGCAAAAGAAGCTATTGATTTTGTCGGAAGACAGAATACAGCGGTCACTCTTAGTTTTTCATTAGTGGACAGGTCATACTAACATCATTCATTTCCGTTTTCCTGGGGTCATCACCCCACCCCATTATTTCATTGATATAACCTTACTTATTATAAAACGCAGATTGTGTGTGTGTGTGTGTGTGTGTGTGTGTGTGTGTGTGTGTACGTTTTATATTTTTGCACTAAATCAATTTGAAAACACAATTAAGAGGCATCACGTGAATGAAAGGGGGACAACTCATATCGAGTTATACTTATTATAAAACCCAGGTTGTGTGTGTGTGTGTGTTCGTTTATATATGGGATCGGATTTCCTACATTTTTCAACCGATTTCAACAAAACTTCACCTTTTTTTGGCAGGTACTGTTTCTTATTGTCTTTTTTTCTTTATTTTTACATTCAGAATGCTTTAAAAATTCCATTTACAAGACAATTGTTTATAATAAAATTCTATTCAATCGGTAGACTCATAATGATTGAAAACAATGTTTTTGTTTGAGTTTGGGTTTTTTCGTAAAAAAAAAAAATAATAATTAAGACATGCGTGTCCGTCAACCTTAAACAATAATCTTTGTCAATTTTATTTTTCAGTCTTTATGATGGTCGATACTTGATCTATTATCTTACTGTTACAAACCCAGGGCAACGCCGGGCTCTACTGCTAGTTTTTTATATATTTTTTTGTATAGATAATTGTACATATTGAAATTTTAAGTCATGGTGTGTTTTTAGTAGGGGCCCTGCGTGTGTGAGGTATTTTGGTGTATGTAGAAGCGAATGGTGACGGATAGATTCTTATGGTAAATGAACAAATTGTAACAAATGAATGGGTCGTGAATATGACTAGCTAAATCTAGGATAGTTAGTATCAACCACCCTTGACCCCATTCCCCATTATTTTCGGCCTTTTGCCACCATTATTGTATTCACTCAGTAATAAATCGTAGACAGATGAAGGTTTCATACGGCAACTTTGAAATGCATTTCTTATGCATCATAATTTCAGCAGGAATGATTTTCTAAAAATAAATTAAAACAGATTCTTTTGGGAGACAATTGTCCTTTTTCCTAGAAAAGTAGAAATCCAATTTTGGTGTATGTACGAGCGACTGGTGACAGATATATTCTTAAGGTGAATGAGTAAATTGTAATGAATGAATGGGTCGTGAATGTGATTAGCTAGATATAGAATTGTTAGTGTCGACCAACCTTGATTCCACTCCCCACTTTTTCGGCCTTGTGTCACAATAACTGTATTCAATCAGTAGTAAATCGTAGACAAGTAACGTTTGTACAAATAAAGTTTTTTGTAGATTTTTATACTTGAATTTTTTAAATATAATTTGAAGACAGACATTCTGTTGAATTATTGTTTAACATTATCAAACACTGTTTTCATTTTTATTTTCTTAAAACGCGCTCTTTTGTTAACTGTTGAAAAATATTGAAAGATTTACCTCAATCATCTTTTGTTATTGTTTTATTACTAGCAACCATATCCAGCTGGCCGATTAGAAAAAAAAAGTGTTCAATGAGATTGGAGCAAAAACAGCATCATGTTTAGATCTAACAGAGTCAATTACTTTAAAGTACTTTCATTAAAAAAAACATTTTGAATTAATGCAGTTACTCATATAACAGAAGTAGTCTGTATTTCGGAGTCTGTCTATATTTCTGAGATGAGGTATTATGTACAGTATTTACATTATTCGGACTATTGTCCTCATCTTTGTCGCCATATTTATCACAAATGTTTTCAGCAACCATTTTTACCAGTGCTCATATTGCAATTTTGCTATTATCCTTCCATGTTTTTACCAGAGCTCATATTGCAACTTTGTTATTATTGCTTTTCTCTGGCACTCCTTATTACTGGTTCCCATATTGTATTTATTTCTATGCTTGGTCGGCTCGGGAAATTTTTGTGGCCTAGCATATGTGCTGATTCCTTAAGTTTACGAATTTTCCAGTGGTGTTCCCTGTCTATGATCTCAACATGATCCCACAGGGAACGGTGATCTCCCTTCTCTCTATATATGTGGTCAGCCACTGTGCCATGTGTCCTCAAGGACACATGGCACAGTGGATAAAGGCGTTGGTTAGATCCAGTGACGGACCCAAAGAGTGTGAGTTCAATACCCGGTTAAGGCGGTGGAGAACTTTCAGAGGGAAAATTAGCAGGAGATAACTGTTCACTGACATCCATCAAACATGGCACGTGGAACTAGAACAGTCTACCCCAGTGATCGAAATAAAGGGTTCAGATCGAAATTCCAACCACTTGAAGAAGGCCGGAGCGTACAACGGCCGAAACGTTGTGATAAATATGGAGACAAAGATGAGGACAATAGTCCGAATAATGTAAATACTGTAGTCCGTATTTATTCAATCGAAGTTAGCCGAGTAGATGAAAAGGTAAAAGAGGCAACATGAAGACCCAGTTCAGGCCACAATTATTTTGGAGTTTTTGAAATTCAATTTGTCATTGATGTAAAAGAGGATACATTTATAAAGCAATTGTTAAGTTTGTTGAAGATTGGTTGAAAGATCAACGAAAAATAAGAAAGAAACCAGTAAAAATCGCCATTTTTCACTATTTACGCGGATTTTCACTATATGTGTGGACTCAATTATCAAGTAAAATTAAACAATTAACTTATTGTTGGCTACAATTAAGTGAAGTTTGTATTAGATTGCTTGAAAATTGAGGGAGTTTTTAGTTTAAAATTTGGGTTGAAATCGATTTGTGTTGAAATCAGTTTTTCGTATTTTGCGGTTTTTCGTTAATCGCAGTAGCGTAGAAATAAAAAAAAATGAGGTATCGTTGAGCTCGGCATGATGTACGTAACCTACATACTGAGTTTGAACGAAATCAGAGGAGAAAAGTTGAATTTATCGATTTTTGATAAGCATTATTGATTTTTTGCAATAAGAAGGTATCTCTTACGTTGTACACTGTATGCGCCAAGTTTGGTGAAAATCGGTTGGATATATCTCGCGAGAAAAGGTATTACACATACAGACAGGCATCCTCTGTTTTATATATAGAGATTATGAATATTATTGTTAAGTGAGAACAAAGAATACCAATAATGTGACGTTGAAGTATGACTACATTAGTCCTAATGTAACCATCATTACAACAAGTCTGATGGAGGTATACCAGTTACATCCATAGGAGCCAAATGTACTCGCTATGGTGATAGGTTTTGATGAAAAAAAAAATGTGTAAAGTTTTAAGTAGGAATCAGTTGAAAATCATTCAAGTTCGTTAACAGTTCAAATGATTTCCAGTTAAGAGTGATCCCAAGTATCGAGAGGTGACTCCCAAGTTGCCTTCAGACGTCAAAGAAACAACCTTCTCGACACTTATGATGCTGAGTAATGGAGCAGTTAAATATAGTGCAGTAATACACAAGGTGAGGCCAACGTTTTAATAACTTTTATTTGTTCTCTCTGTTTCTTTCTTTCTTTCTTTTTTATTTATTTTTCATCATTCTTTTGTTTCTATCATATTTTTCTTTTATTCTTTCTTTATTTCATTTCCGTCTTCCCATCCCACTTTCTTTCTCCTTTCTTTGCACTTATCATCTTTTACATTTTTTTCTTCTCTTTCTTTCTTTCTTTCTTTCTTTCTTTCTTTCTTTCTTTGCACCTATAATTTTTCCCTCTTTCTTTATTTCCTTCTTTCTTTATACCTATCACCCTTTCCTTCTCTCTATCATACTCATACGTTAAGTTTGCCCTATGCTTTTTATTTCTGGTTAACTTGTTTTCTTCGTTTATATACTATGTTGTTTTTGTCATCTATCATCCTTTCTTTCTTTCTTTCTTTCTTTCTTTCTTTCTTTGCACTTTTCATCCCTTCCCTTTTTCTTTCTTTCTGTCTGTCTTTCTTTCTTTCTTTCTTTCTTTGCACTTTTCATCCCTTCCCTTTTTCTTTCTTTCTGTCTGTCTTTCTTTCTTTCTTTCTTTCTTTGTACATATGATCTTTTCCCTGCTTCTTTCTTTCTTTTTTCCTTTCGACCTATCATCCTTTCCTTCCTTCCTTCTTCCTTTCTTTTTTCTTTCTTTCTTTCTTTGCACCTATCATCTTTTCCTTTCTTTCTATCTTTCCTTCTTTCTTTGTACCTATCACCCTTTCCTTCTCTCTATTAACTCATCCCCTTAAGTTTGATCCTCTTCTTTTTTATTTCTTCTTAACTGCCTTTCTTCTTTTATATAATATTCTATAAAATGGTACTGCCATATCTGTGAGAAGACATTTTTGTCTGGAGTCATTAATCACAATATCTGGTCGATTAACTTTTATATGTCTGCCAATATGAGAGGTTAAAGTCCCAAAGAATTCTGACTTCTTGGCCTTATTTGACTGGTTCAGTCAAAATCCGAATCATTTATTATTATTATTATTATTATTATTGTTTTATTTCCTTTGGCTTCTGATGTATTCTCATTTCTTTCCGTGTCCCGACCAGAGACCTTACGTCAAAAATAACATCATATTTTACATCGATAAAGCCGTTCGTATAGTGTGGGCTGTATTCGTGAGAACAATATTTTATATTTCTTTAAAGTAAGGGCTACCAGGAATTCCTTCAAGGAGTCTATTAGAAATTTTTCCAATCACTCCCAGAACTCCAACTACAACTGAAATTGTTGATGTCCTCATGTCTGTAGAAAAATCACGTGGTAGAAATAAACACTCAGTTGTGGAGCAAGCTAAGTGAACAATAATCCAACCTTTAGAAAGAGAGCTATTTATGTTGCCATGGAGCATCTCATTGTGCTAAAGTGGGATAGTCCATTGCTTGGGCTGTGATTGGCTGCTGGTACAGTACTGTACTGTATTGATGCGGCATTCACCCTGGGCGGATTGAGCCGGCTTCTTCCTGTTATGAGAAGAAGATTCTTGGGATAAATTACAGAAGTAGGGTACCCAGGCCTACTCGGATAACGTTCTTGCTTGCCGCGGGGTTCCCACAGACGCAGAGACAGGAACGACCAGAAGCCGCCGGTTACCGATGCAGACGCTCCTTGGATTTTCACCAGAGCCCTTGTTAGCCGGCGTGTGTGTCAGACCTGTCCGCCTTGGGTGGCCCTACCAGGAACGAAGTTCCGGGCGGCATAGCTCTGACACTACCGTTTACACCCCCCCACCGACTGTGAGGTAAGGGTTGGACTTTGGGGGCTTACAGTACCAGGTGTTCCCAAGCGGTCCCCCATCTAAGTACTGACCTGGCTCTACGATGCTTAACTTCGGTGATCGAACGAGAACCGGTGTTTTCAGCGTGATTTGACCGTAAGCTGCTGGTACCTGCGTGGAGGTATTTCTATATAAATACCAGCTTGATTCATCAGTTAGTTTGCAGGGTTTGTATTAAGTTACAACCTGCTTTATTTTTGTCTGCCAGCTGGATGCTAGCTGGGATCTTTACACCGGTAAGTGCTGTTTATTATTGTCATTCTACAATGTCCTACAGTTTTGAGGTTTCGATTTCAAGGCCCTTGTATTTTGATAGCTTTTTGATGATCTTCAAATATATATTGCACTCTCCATGGACTGCTATGACAATAAGGAGGCACTTTTTGTCTTTACGGTCTCTAATCACGATGCCTGGGCGATTAGCTTTGATTATTCTGTCTGTCTGTATTGTAAAAGCCCATAAAATTGTTACAAATCCTATCTTCGTAGCCGGGTCTGGGTCAATGTTCATACGACTTTCTTGCAGTTTCCTTTCCGTGAGCGTTGCAGGTTTTCCGGTGAAGATATTGGCCCACTGTCTTGCCGTGTTTTATATTCAATGGATGCCAATACTGCGGAACTTGATAAAAAATGGTCAATTGTTTCTGGATATTTATCACAGAATCTATATTTTTGGACTAACAGAATTTTTCATTATGCGTGCATTGTAATTTCTAGTTAGCGAGCATTGGTCCTGTGCAGCAAGAATAAAACCTCCAGTTTCCGCTTTTAACCTTGCACTATATGGCCACTGATGGGCACGGGGTTTGTCTAGATTAGCTTGTTTGGTACGGGCAGAGTATTAACTGTGAAGCGGTTTATCTTGCCATCGTTTCTGTATCTGGTCGGTGGTATTTGCCTTTGCTTTTATTATCATTATTTTTATTTTCTTTGATTTCTGGCGTCTACACATTTTTTTCCGGGTCCCGCCCAGGGACCTAAGGTTAAAAATGGCATCATGACACTTTCTACTGACAAAAAAAAAAAAAATTACATAGATAAAGCCCTTCGTAAAGTGTGGGCTGTACTTGTCAGAACAATTTTTTGTATCTCCTTGAGGCATGGACTTCCAGGAATCCCTTCAATTAGTCTACTTCAATCTTTTCCAACCAGTCCTAGGGCTCCAACTACAACAGGGATTGTTGATGTTCCCATATGCCACATTTTCGAAATTTCTATTTCAATGTTCTTGTATTTTGACAGCTTTTGGAATATCTTCAAAGATACATTGCAGTCAGCAGGGACTGCCATATCAATAAGGAGGCACCGTTTTTGTTTGTGGTCTTTAATAACAATATCTGGCCGGTTGGCCTTGATTGTTCTGTCAGTGTGTATTTTGTAGTCCCATAGAATTGTAACAGGTCCTATCTCCGTAACCGGGTCTGAGTGGTGTTCATACCAGTTTCTTTCAGTTTCCTTCCCGTATGATATTGGCCCACTCTGTCATGTTGGGTTTTATATTCAGTGGGTGGCAACATCGTGCAACCTGATACAAGATGATCAATCGTTTCTGGATATTTATCACAAAATCTGCATTTTGGGCTGACACAATATTTTTATCCGCTAGCTAGACCCCTGATCAGGAGGTTGGAGGTTTTGAGGAACATGCAACCACCTCTTAATTGCTGCTGTTCCCAGGTACACTCTGACCCAGGGTGGTAGCACCTGTTAGGATCCTAATCAGGGGTAAATAATGAACCTTCAAATAAAAACAAAATACTATGAAATTATAAAAATACGTTTTTATCGTAAAATAACTAGCAATACATTTTATAATAGAATTATCATCAATACATTTTATAGCAAAATAGCCAACAATACATTTTATAATAAAATGACCAACAATACATTTTATAGTAAAATGACCAACAATACATTTTATCTCTAGTTGAAGGCATGCAACTGAGTTCAAGATGTCTATAGTTGAAGGCATACAATTGCGTTCAAATTATTTAAATTTCAGCATTAAATAACCCATAGATGTTGATATATCCGCTAAACAAAATCAGTCAAACATGAAAAACACTTTCATGATATTTATATATTCTCAGTCAGTTATGGGTCATGCGTTATACACCCTTTCGATACATGACTGACGAGGCAATTTTTTCCTGCAGTAGGTTGCCATTTCTTTCTGCAATAGACCAGTTGTCATCCAAGGTTAAAGAATCCGATCTGTCCTGCTATTTATTCATAGCTGGTGGAGGGTGGGGAGAAGAAGAGGATTCATAACGTTCCCAAGGGTATTAGCCCCTTAAAGCATGTAATGGATTTGACTGGAATTTGAATTCGGCTCTCCGATTCCTCAATGCGAGCCGCCATCTATTACTCCACCGCAAACTGTATTCCAAACTATAACTTTAAACATAAAACACCGTATCTCGTAATTATGTTCACACAAACATGTATATGCACAAAAGCTGTATTCAATTGTGAAAGCAAAGTAACACACATATATATATATATATATATATATATATATATATATATATATATATATATATATATATATCAAGTATAGGATTGGTGTATACGGAATAAATTCTAATAACCAAAAATACTATTCTTAAAAGAGTGTTCAATACAGAGTAGAGCAAATATAATTATTTATTCGAAAATTATAACATAAATATATTATAAAATCACTACAAAAATAGCCATTTTGTTTCAACACTTCTGGTGTCTTATCAAGTGATGGTGTTGAATATAGAAACTACATTCAACACCATCACTTGATAAGACACCAAATGGCTATTTTTGTAGTGATTTTATAACATATTTATATTATAATTTTTCGAATAAATAATTATATATATATATATATATATATATATATATATATATATATATATTCAACACTCAGAGGCGACAGGCTGTTTCATGCCGCCTGACGATTGCGTTCAGCATGAAACAGCTGTCGCCTCTGAGTGTTGAATTCAACATTCACTTTATATTTGTATTTACATACGCTCTATCTCTGATATCCAAGAAAAATAAATTTTGGCATTATATGACCCATAAGGAGTTGGTATGCTGTTAAACAAACAAAACAAGTATCCCAAGGCAGAAATATTCTTGGAAATAGTCTCGAATCTGTCAACCACAAAAGAGAAAACTTGCACTGATGCTTTTTACATATTTTCCATTTTTTCTTCGCGGGTTATTAGTACCTCTCTATTTTCATTTATTCCACCATTAAGATTTTCTTATCCCAAGGTACCGTAATATCTATAATGACCTCTCTTGTGTACAAGTGTGATATGCGGGCGATTACTCTCCAAACCCTTGTCAGTCAACATGATCGTATTTCCACATGAACTTCATTTTTTTTTGTTTTTTTCACCAGCAGGTTATATCGAATACTTTCTGGATTAACCCCACTCTTAGGAGGAAACAATCTTTTTTGTAATGGCTCTATTTCCAGATCATAATCCAAAATCTGCAAGATTTTCCCTATTTTTGTGCAACATCCCGATGCTTCAATGGTTATTGG